TAGGTTCCTGGGACAATCTTAAAGCATGAAGAGAGGAACCCTAAACATCAAGGATACTACAATACAGAAATCAAATAGGCCAATGACTGCTAGAACCAATTGAGCATGAAGTCAAAGATATGTATTGATAAAACTCACTTGGGTCACCTGTAAGATCTCTTGGCAAAGGAGATCTATTTCACTCTTACCTACCTTTAATCTGCTTCCTGCTTTTACCTATCCTTACAGAAACAGTTGACTGAGCAGCCAGAATTTAGAACTATTATCTCTATGCAGTTATTTTGAGTTCACTGTTATTCGCTTGAGACTCTATTAAAACCCACATAGAAGGGGAGGAGATGTAAATTATCAAAGTTTTGTAAGCCCAATTTGTATTTTTTTCTTCCTACTGCAAATCACCTGGGGGAAGTTCAGAAATACACATTTAATAGAGATCAGGGTTTAGAAACTTGTTTCAGTAACTGTACAGAGTCAGAGACAGTCCCTAGCAACATATTTCTCGTAGATTCAAGCCAGTATAGCTACAAAGGTGAGTGAGTGAACTTAAGTGGATAGCCATTTTTCAATTCCCTCTGGAAGGTAGCATGCACTAGGCTTTTTAAGCCTTTCAGGAAAGCCATTCTCGAGGAGCAAGTTACTATGAAGTTCTGTGTATGTGACAGTACAGGAAATTCCTCATGCATGCCAGATAGAGGCCTAGATTCAGTTTACCTTGTTTGCCAGTGCCACCTGGTAGTAATCACAAAATTAGCACAGTTAATGTTGCTATGTGAAAGAATTATGCAAAAGCAAAAGTAATTAAGTGAAAAATAGGAGTCAGAAGTGGGTACCATAGACACTACTGCTATGTCACTTGACCAACCCATGACCTCACCCTGTTAAATCAATTATTGGAAGTTGCCAGAAAGAGAAAAATTGCCTTACCTCTTACCCCCGTGCACAGCAGGAGAGGGGAATGATATTGAATAGGATGCACAAGGTATCAAATCCTTTCACACTGACAAGAAATAGGAAAGAAACTACTAAAATACTAATCTCTCCCCTTCATATATAGCCCTTTATAAAATAGTAATTACTGCTGGATTCCTGCTACCCAATAATCTCTTTTGCCAACAAGTAAAACATCTCTGCAAACTTCTCAGCTTTGTATCTAAAATAGGACTCCAGCTACTTTTCAGATGTATTTGAACTTATTCTTCCTCATACATTCCTATGGTCCAGCCTATTTACTGTCCCTCAAATCCAGCTTTCCATTTCTTGTGTCCTTTCCTTCCTATATGTCTAGGATGTGTTGCATCCTTCCTTTCCCTCTTAGAATCCCCTGGAAGGCTCGGCTCATGTACTGTCTCCCACAGAGAGGTTTTCCTGATTTCCCTGGTTATGATTCCCTCCTGCAAATTTCACTGACATACTTACCTATAGCTGTTACGTCTCCCCAGGAGATTGTAAATTCCTTGAGGGCAAGGACGATTTGGTTTTGGTTTTGTATCTCCAGCTAGGACCTATTGTTATATACTTAGCTTGAATTCAGTTCAATCAGCATCTCAACATCTATCACACACAAAGCAGAGTGCTGAGGAATAGAGGGCAAAAAAAAAAAAAATAGGAAAACAATCCTTGCCTTTCAGGTGATTCTTTCTCATTTTGGTTGTCAGTGCAATTGTGTCTCATTACTGGACCGAGTTTCCTAAGGGTAGAGCCTAGGCTTTAAGACTAGTCTCTCCCCTAAGAACTAGTACAACGCACAAAGTAGTTACTTAATAGATGTTTACTAAGCTAAACTGATTGAATCAGCTGATCATATTTTCAAAGGTAAATAAATTACTTTGAAGTTCGATGATCAATAGTTGGACAACTTCAACAAATACTTAAACCCCCCTGAACTTCTCTTTCAGTCTTCTCTTTTGCTTTGACTCAATTGCATTGGCCCTCACCCTATTCCATTTAACTCAGTAATGTTATTTGTGTTTGGGTGCACATACATACAGGAATATTTACAGCAACTTAAATGTATTTGCATGGAGTGAATAGAATTCTCAGTCAATAAGACCAAACTTCAGTTAAAGCTTCTGGAGCATACTCTGTGATCCTGGGCAATCATTTAAACCTTTCAGTGCCTCAGGAAAGCCTCTGAGACATCAAGATGGCGAGAGGTTGGCTATTTGCTTAGGCAGAAGGAATTTTCTCCCTTAGAATTCTCCACAAAGAAAAGATCAAGTCCTCTGTATGTAGAGGCGCACTTTTTTTTTTTTTGAACTTAAGATTTTATATTCTCCATTCTCAATTTGTAAAAGTTGGTTCAATCAGATTTCCCTTAAAGAAAAAAAATATGTTTATAGGCCTCTGGTTGATTTGGAGTTTTTTTGTTTTTCTTTCCCCTGTGGGTCAGTGGCCTATGATAGACAGGATGCTCCCCTGTTCACCCTTAGTCCCTTAAAACTACATTCCCCAAACAAATTAGTAAGGAATAACTGTTCCCCAAATTTCTAAAGCAATTAGACCTTTTTTAGGTTGTTCCTACTTAAAGATATCCTTCTTTCCCAGCTTCCTTCACACTTGACACAGTTTTAGTCATCAAAGAAGCTTATCATTTTCACTAAAAACATATTTAAGGCACAAGTGGCACTGAAAGTTTTCATTTTGTAGTTTAAGAAATTTAAAGCTAAAAAAAATTCTAAAAGCTTTACACACTTCCTTTTCTACGTCGGAGTTTTAAAGAACTGAGACAGAAAAGCCTAGGGACTACTAAAAAGTAAAAATTAAACCTACGTTATTTGAGCTCAAGAAGTGTGGTAGTTTATAAAGTTGACAAGGTTTTCTTTAATGCTTCCCCAAGTGCCTGTCAACCGCATGAGGGACACTATGAGGAAGGGCATTAAACAAAACGGTCCTAAAACCTGCCTATCATTTTAAAAATTAGTATTTTAAAATGCTGGAGTAAACGGCACAACACATACATGATCTGAATAGCATATGGGGCCATTTTCCACCTCAGTAATAACTGTTTTCTTATAAATATCATATTATCTAACTTGAAGTAACTATTCTTTCTAAATCTACCACTGAATATAACTGGATTACATTTCACCTAATTTCCCAAGAGCATAGTACTGATAGAGCAGAAAGTTGCTGCTGCTTTCTTGTTACGGTGATAGCTTTTTCATCCAGCTTAATAAGAAATTCAATCTACTTCAACAATTCCATCCAAGTACGAGTTAAGCCACATGGCCTTTGGTGGTCTTCCTGTTAAGGATTCCATAAGTCTTAAAATCTATAGGTCAATCCAAAGGTAACAATTGACATTTACTAATTTTTAAAATTAAATTTAATCTTTTTTAGCTTTCAATTTTTTATTTTCTTTCCTTTCCTAGACTTCCCCAACTTAATTAAAACAAAACAAAACAAAAAATCCTCACAACACTCACAGCTCAGCAAAACACATTGTTAATGTCCAAAAATGAATGTCTCAATCCTAGATTTAAGTCTTTTACCCCTCCAGTAGGAGAAGGGTGGCACAATTCATCTTTAGTCCTCTGGACTCATAGTTGAGGCAGCCATCCTTTCCCCCTTTCCCCCCACCACAGATGGGACAATAAACAACAACAAAAAAAAATAACAAATCTGAAACATAATGAATGACCATGGGACTATTTTCATCACAGAGGGATAATCTATTTTACGGAAGGACTGAAAATAAGAATTGTCCCGTATCCAGTTAGCTACACTTATTTTATCCCCCTTGCATTGACAAGACATGTGGAAGACAGTTATCCTCTTCTGAATTAAGCCTTCCTTCCTTTTAGGTTCTGTCCTTCAAATAACAAAATGTTAAGAGGTGGAAGGGGCCTCACTGGCTGGCTAGTCCAACATACCTTTGAAAAAGAATGCCTTCTATAATACCCAACTGGTTGTGTTACTTCTCTTGACAGACTGCCAATGAATTTGTCCAAAGGTATTTTTCATTTCAAATTTTATGTCTATCTGAACTTTATTTAGAATTTTAAGGCTATCTTTTGTTTTCATTTCTCTTTCATTTCCAAATATCTTTCTTCTTTTCCCAGCAAGCCCTCCTATGTATAACTTCCCCTAACCCCCAAAAGAGAGAAAAACTTAACAACTCATAGAACAGTAGTCAATGTTCTGTACCCAGTCTGGAACCTTTGCAAAGGAGATGAATTTTCCCATCTTTCCTTCGGGGACAAGCTTGATCATGATAATGGTATTATTTTGTTGTTTTTCATGGCATTATTGTCATTTTTGTGTAATTGCTACCCTGGTTCTCCTTCCTTCACTCAACATCAGATCAGAAGTCTTCCCATATTTTTCCTATTGGTTTGGGTTGTTTTTTATTTTTGGGGGGGGGGGTGAGCTGCACCTGATATTTCATTGGTGTATGGGTGCTCCTGGTGAGAAAGTTTCTCTACCAATACAACTGGATGCCCCACCCACTCCGCAACTTAAGTTTCAAGAAATTATGAAAAGGGACTAGTTCAGAGAAACTTGTAAAGACCATTATGAACAATTGCTGAGTGAGGCAAGTAGAACCAGGAAAACAAGTTATTTAGGAAAAATTTAAAGACAAGCAACTTTGAAAGACTTAACTCTGAGCAACAAAACGACCAATTATGACAACCAAGGAAGAATCCTACCCATCTCTGGCAGCATAGATTAAAGATGCATACTTAGATGTTTTTTAATGAATTTTTGACCATGCTTATTTATGTTTTTTTCTTCTGTTCAAATATGGGGACAAAATGGTGGGAAATACAGAAAATTAAAGCTTAATTGAAAAAAAAAATGCTTTTAAGAGAACTGTGTACTGAGAGGCTGAGACTTGCCCAGGGTTAAGTGGTTAGTACACATCAGAAGGACTTGAACTGAAGGATTCCTGACTCTCTATGTAGTAGGCCATACTCATTAACTTCTTATGATGCGTTGTTATTTTCATTGACAACATAATTTGTTTATCCATATTTGTTTATCCATTCCCCAATCAACAGGTGTCTACTTTGACGCAAGTTCTTGTTACAACAAAAATGCTGAAGACTATGAAATGACCTTCTTTCTGCATTTGACCACACTGGGGCACGTCTTGCAAAGAATCCCAAAGTCAAAAAGTGTGAGTATTTTAGTCACTTTCTTAATTCCAAAATGCTTTACATAATAGTTGGACAAATTCACAATTCTATTAACATCAAGGATACCAATAGTATTAGTGTGCCTAAATTTTTAAAATTTAAGTCTAATTTTTAATTAACAAAAATCTATTTTCTCTTCCTCACTCCCACCCCCACCCCCATATTGGGAAGGGGGCTTTTAAAACAAACATTCTCCCATTGGCCAATCTGAATGATCGCCTCTGTCTGGAGGTGGATAGTATGTTTCATCATGGGTCTTATGGAACCATGGTTAGTCATTGCATTGATTAGACTTTTTAAGTCTTTCAAAATTGTGGTGGTGTTACATAAATTGTTTTTCCTCGTTCTGACTCCAATAGGTGGCACAGTTTGAGTTTGGAGTGAGGAATACTTGAATTCAAATTTGGCCTCAGATGCTGTTTTGTGACTCTGGGTAAGTCACTAAACCATTTCCTTCCTTCCACTCACTTGACTCTGTATCAGGCTTCATAAAAATTTTCCCTTTCATTGATTTCTTAGATGTACCTATCTTTCTGCAAACTCTCTCAAAATTATTTCTACCTTTGTCATCTTTTAATTTGTTGGGTGTGAAATGAAACTTCAATTGTTTTGACTTGAATTTCTCTTACTAGCGATTTAGAACAGTTTTTCATACGGTTAACAGTTTACAATTCTATGGATGTTTGTTCATATTCTTTATTAACTTGTCCATGGTAGAATGAGTCCTAGTCTTATTCATATTTGTTAGTTTCCAATATACATCTTGGATATCAAGTCCTTATCAGACATATTTAAGGTAAAGATTTTTTTTCCCTTTAGCTACTGCTGCCTTCTTTATTTAAGGTGTATGGATTTTGTTAGAGCAAAAGCTTTTTAGTTTCATGTATTAAAAATGATCTGTTTTATCACTGTCTCAATCTTCTGACTAATTTAGAATAATCCCAGTTTTTAACAATTTATGCCAAGTATTTGTTTTTTGAAGCAGTAATGGCTTTTATTTTGGTAAGTTTTTTTTTTTATTCAAGCTTCAAGGGAGGATCCATTCATTCTAGTAATTCCGGAATTTTATTAACAAGTAACCATTCACATTATCTAAGTAACTCATGATTATAAAATTGTGCCACAGGACAAAGACTTCCCTTAAGTAATGATTTCTCTTAGTATACTTAAAGATTTATTCCAATTGCAAAATGTTGTGTTACATGCCCTTTAGGTACAAATTTGTCATTGAAAGTGTTATGTATGTATGGGAGGGCATATTTGATGATGTTATAGCTAAAGTCAAAACTTCATATACAATATTCAATATAAAGCTTAAAATTCTGGTCACTTACTATGTTGTGTGTAGAATTTTTTAAAAAGTGCCAGTTTTCTAATTATCCTTTTCAACCACCACCACCACGACCAAACGGCAACCTAAGTAAAGTGATTCAGAGTCTTGTCTTCTCATGTTCTTCAGACTCTGTAGAACATTAACGGTTTTGCACTAATGTGTGAAAGAGAGAGGAACCACAAGGTGGTGCTATAATTCCATTGTAGAGGCAATTTAAAAGTCAGCCCACAAGTTTGTTCAATTACTAATATTTGCTACTTTTTCAACTATAATTCTTTAGATTAGAAGAATGCAATAATGAACAATTAATACTATTAAAACCAAATATCTGTATTGCTTATAACTCATAAGGCTTGTTGTGAGGAAAGAATTTTTTAACTTTAAACTCCTATATAAATGTGAACAGCTGCTATAATTTCAAACTTTAAGAATTTGTAAGCTCATTGAAAAAAAAATCACACCGGTATAATGCTTTAAGTTAACACTATTTTATTTGACTTTAGTGTCATACAAAACATTTTAAGTTAAAAATTAAAATTCTTAATCATATACATTTGGGGAAAAGAAAATCAAGGAAAAAACTGTTTTCCCCCTTCATAATAAAAGAGTTGTCTTCTCTTGAAGCCTGTTCAGAGCAAACTTGTGTTATGATTTTTTAAAATTGAGAAATTTTTAAATTCCCTTTTTTGTCTTGACTCAAGTTCATGTAGACCTTCCCTCAATATCATCCACATCTACTGAGAAATTTGTAACTTCAAATCATAGTGTTCCCCCTTCCCACCTCAAAAAAAAGAACAAAATCCAAAATTCTGCTTGTGTATCTTTGTAACTCTGGATGGTCTCCATCTGTGTTGCTGGTCTTAAAATGTGTTACTGAATACGACACTAAAACACTCAACACCTTTTTCACAGTAAGACTTCACACAAATACAGAAATACAGGATCACATTGACCTCCACTTTTTCAATGTTAATTGAAAACCTAATGCATCACTACTTTTCTAAATTGAAAAAAAAAAGTTGTTTTTAAAAATAAAAACATTTTCATTCTCAATGTGTACATTTAACTTTTCATTGCAACTTATTTGACTACACAGATGGCAAAATGGTATGCATGTAAATCTCTTGGGTGCAATATGCAAGTCCCTGTTGGAGAATTTCCAACAGGATGTAAACTGTGGTCCTCAAGCCTGCGCTTTAAAAAACATATTCTTAGCACACTGCCAACAAATGTCAACACAAAGACACACCGCTGTAATGACTTCACTCTGCAAAAGAAATCTACTGGAACAACAGGAATATTTTCCTCACAGAAAGCTCAAACACAGTAAAGTAGTGTAATTACAGCTCAAAAGAATTAAATTATTTCTTCAATAATGAATACACCAAATGGAATTCTCAATGTAGCAATATCAATATATATTTAAAACTGTTACAGATAAAACTTAAAATAAACGTCCAGTGTCAAGTCTCAGAAGTCCATGGAGATATTTCTAAGATGAGTTATTTGAATACTTCAACAAGTCAGCTGTTTCTTGAAACCTAAAAAATATTTTTAACATTATTACAACAAAATGGGCTATTTTAGAAACTAAAATTTTCTAAACCCTAAAACAATTTTCTAATGCGTATAGGAGAAGGCAGTTAACTATTAATAAAAAAGGAGCTAAGACCAGGCTACGCAAAGAAAATGAAGAGTCAGTTACAATTCTTTCTTCCATAAAATGTTTATAATCTGACATAAACAATAGAAATGATTTTCATATTAAGAAGACTTCTTCACTCGACATTTTTACAATATTAAAAAAACAAGTCATTTAAAAACACTGACCACAAATATTGTTTAGTGTTTTGTTAACGAAATGATAGATAATGCTCTTACTAACCATCAACTCAAACTGGACTTTTTAATCCCCAGTTAGTTCCATTAACAACCCTTTACATTACTAGTTAGAAACCCAAACAATGACTCATCCCACAAACATATAACTGAAGGTGGATTTATTATCCTCTAGAGTCCTGAGGAAATTCCACACCTGATTGCGAGACCTTTAGTTTGGAACACATATGCACATTCTATAGGTACCTTAGTCTAATATAATTCCCTACAGAGAAATGAATTCTTTCTGCCCTTTTCTATTACTTACATTTTTTTTATCCTTTCTATTTTCTCCATTGTTGTCTCCTGTAATTTAAAAAGCAACAAAGTTAGATGATTCCTCTAAGATAACCAACTTCAAAAATAGACCCTGATCCTATAAAAGTCTAAAACATTAGTTTACATATCAGAACTTTTATGAGAATGTAAGTGATTTTTGAATAGTTTTGCTTTTCTTTTCACCAATACAACTAAAACTAATGCTCACTTGTTCTCCTGACCTTACAAGAAAATCAACTAAGCATCTGCCAGTTTTACTTACCTTTGAAGCTTCTGTCAAACCAAAATAATTAATGGTACTGGGTTGGGGAGAGGAATCTGTGGAAAATAGTAAGTTGTATCCAGATGATGGCTGATGAAGACTCTCTGGCATCTCCTCTTTCCTTTTTCTATCTGTGGAGAAATTAATTTTTAAGTTACCTTAGTTTTTCTGCTCTCATAGTGGGGTCAACTATAGAACAGTCTGATTTACAGTATGTGACAGAAAAGAAGGTATTCTTTAGATATGAAAAGACTACTGGTACAGGTCCAAGATTTGTCTTCATAGCCCTTTACTATAACATATATAGGGTGCTGTATGACCAACACACACACCCACACCCACCCACATACACACACTTGCGCATGCTCGCTCGCTCTCTTTCTTTCTCTCTCTCTTCCCCTCCCTCTCTCCCCGCAATGCAATCTACAACAGGAATACTACATTTATCTTGATTACTATCAAATCAAACACTTAGGCAAGTCAAATTAAAAGTATGTGTGCAAATTCAACATTCTATTACTTTCAAAATAAGCTGCCAGTGCTAACAATATTTAATTACATCAAAAGGTTGCTATCATCAAATACCTGATAAAAAATCCTTTCATTCAAGATTTAAAGTGCCTCCCAAGAGTCTCACTAATAAACTGAGCTAGGTCTTGGTGCCAAGTTATGAAAATTGAGGGAAAAAAATTAAGCAATTTTTGAAGTCATATACGTTTAACTGGCAATTAAAGAAAAACTATGTCTCAAATTCCTGATTCATAGGATTCTACTCTAAAACACAACTGGAGACATAAATTGTTACCCACATCATTTTTTAATTGGCAGAAATGCCAATAACTTCAACGACTAAATCACATGCAAGGTATGGGGATATACATTTACCTACCTGTCTACATAACTTAGCAAATATATACTCCAACGGATTTGTGATCTTATCAATATGAGCATTCCTTTCAGTGATGCAGATAGCAACCCATTCTTGCCTGCTCACCCTGTGAAACTTCCATTCATGTCCTCAAATAGGGTCACCACAAGGGTTGACCAAATGTGCTGCGGGCTTTCTTTTGGTTCCCTTTACATCACATGAATACCAACGGAGAACATGAAGCATACTCTTGCCACTCTGTTCTATCTTCTTTCAGGCACACATTTCTCTGATAGCCTTTATACTCTTCTCTTGAATTTGTAAAGTGTTACAGCCTCCTCATACCCAATATGGGAATCTTCATTATTCTCTGTGTGGGCCTTTTAATTCTTTGCAGTCTATAGCACTCTAAAAGCAATTCAACTCACTCTCCTCCTCTTGTTTAATTCTAGGCTCTAAATTACTATTTTTTTGTAGTCTTTCCAAGATATATTTTCAATGGATGAGCTCTGTAAATTGTCCACCCAACTCCATATCACAGAGCAGTAGTTTCCAAAGTAGAGAGCCTTGACACAACTCTAAGTGGTTTGTAATCAACCAATTAGAGAGTGACAGAAAAAGAGACACATCCCACCTCTCCTCCCTCCAACAGCCAACTGCCTCCAATATAACCACACTCACTTTGCTTTCTCTCAGGTTTCTACATTTGTGTAGTCCTTTCAGGGTGTTTATCACCTAACCCCACTACCAGCACCCATAAAAGTCATTGGGCAGGTAAAATTCTCCTCCCGTTGTCCCACACCTTGCCCACATCACCTTGTGACTGCAGTAGCAGGCATTCCTTGGAAAGATGGACTCTGTATTCTGGGGGAAGTCATAAGTGAACACTTCAAATGGACAGAGATTCACACAGAATGACCAGACATGGATGGGCTATGATAAGATCTCATATATAGTTCAGTTTTTCCTCTAAACTTCCCTATTTCAGTCGAAAGAACTACTACTAAGACTTTCATATATCATCTTTTCATTCTGATGCCACATGCTGTTTCACTCTGATGCCACATTTTTCAGTTGTGTCCAACTCTTTGTGACCCCATTTGGGGTTTTTTTGGCAAAGATATTGTAGCGGTTTGCCATTTCCTTTTCCAGCTCATTTTACAGATGAGGAAATTGAGACAAACAGAACCAGTTAAGTGATTTTCCCAGGGTCACACAGCTACTAAGCGTCTAAAGCCTGCTTTGAACTTGGGAACATGAGTACTCTATCCATCTCGCCACCTGGCTGCCCCATTCATTCTTACGCCACATAGCCAGTCTTTACTCACACAGCGACCACCCTAGACCAGACCTTTACCACTTCTTGCTTCAACTACTGCAGCAGCCTTTCTAAGCGGTCTCCTTGCCTCAAGTTTCTCCCTACTCTAACCCATCGTTCACAAGGCTGCGAAAATCATCTTCCTAAAGTACAAATCTGACCGTGCCTTTCTCGTATTCAATACATTTCGGACCACAGGTCTGGAGCTAGAAGGTACTGTAGAAGTCATCTAGGCCCTTCAATTTACAGATGATGAAACTGAAGCCCGGTGCACCAAATACTGGTTAACCCATCCCCTTTCAATGTCTATTTTGTGTGTAAGTTTCATAACTCAAATAATTACTAGTATAATAGTACATGTCTACAACTTATAATTAAGTTAATATACTTATAGTGGGGGTGGATGCTAAAACTTTCTTTTATTAAGTGGGTTGTATAACCACAAAACTTTGGAACCAACAGGTTTAGATAATGATCAATCTTTCTTCACTTTGTGGTCTGTGGATAGTTAGAACAATTAGTTTATGGATTGTCCAGGAAGTTCTATGATATTCTGGGACTTGATGCAATCAGCACAATGTCACCCACAAATCAGAACACCTGGAGGGCTTCACCAACTACAGGGAATCCATCTTTGACTTAAGACTGTGTAATGGATCTTCTCCACGTGGAACAGAAAAACTATGGTGATCATTTGCCTCCCTATTTTATTACCAGAAGGTCTTTGAGGTGGTATTTTGCACTACCAAATCAAGTATTCTTCTTGAGGCAAGTGGAAATGGCACTAAGAAAACAAAGATGGGAAAAGCAACTGAATTAGACCAAGCAGAGACAGTGTTGGAGGCAACTCAATTAATTACTTGGTACATTTCATGTATACTTTGATCTATTTGTGTGGTCTCCCCTGATAAAAAGTATGCCACCCAAGGGCAGGGACTATTTTTTTTTTTTACATTATATCTCTAGCTCCTAGCACAGCACCTAGCATAGAGTAAAAGCTTAATGAATACTTGTTGATTAACTGAGGGTGTTGAGGAAACAGTTCTAAAGAAATAAGAAGAAGAGGAAGACACTAAAGATGTGGGGAAAATTTCAGATAATATTATTACCAAATAAAATCTATCAAAAGAACACTAACAGCTACCAACCCATATCATTTCCTTCCTATCTACATGCAATTTTAAGAAAAATAATCTACCCATGGAAGGATATTTCTAGAATAGACAGGCAGTCTTTTCTGAGTGATACTCCACAACAGAGCACAGAAAATTGAATGAATCCTGAAGAAAATACAAGCTCTGATTGTGCTTAGTGTTGACATACATAAAGAAGTATGTGTGTAAAGACACAACCACAGGCAAATACATAAATAGGTGGGTATGGAAGAGAATGGAATAGCATTTATATGTAACCTACTACGTGTTAGGCACTGTGCTAAAGGCTTTTTACAAATACTATCTTTTTTTTTTTTTTGGTGAGGCAATTGGGGTTAAGTGACTTGCCCAGGGTCACACAGGTGTTATGTGTCTGAGACTGTATTTAAACTCTGGTCCTCCTGATTCCAGGGCCAATGCTTTATCCACTGCACCACCTAGGTGCCCCTACAAATATTATCTTAATTGATCCTCAACAACCCTATAAGGTAGGTGCTGTTATTATTTCCATTTTATAGTTGAGGAAACTGAGACACAGGAGTTAAGTGATCTGTCCAGGGTCACACTGCTAGTAAGTATCTGAGACTGGATTTGAACTCAGGTCTTCCTGATTCCAGGCCCAGCGCTCTATTCACTGCATCTACAGTTGCCTCTAATAATAAACTACCTCCCTCTCCCATAATAAAAACCCACTAAAGGAAACTAAGCAATTACAAACTACAAAAAGTAAATGGTGTCAAAGCATTAAGCTGGCAGCTATACCCATGGGAGGAAATAAATTGAGATATTTGTAAGAAATATATTTGTTGACTGGTTCTAATGTTTATAATTAATAAGAAATGAATTATAAACAAATAAACTTTCTAACTTCAGATTCAGTGTTTGCACTTAAACAGCAAAATGAAGAAAACTTTTTTTTTTGCTAAAACTATACCTCTGAAGATAACTTTCTCTGAATATTTTACTTACTAGAAACCGATAGTAATCAAGTTAATGAACAAATTTTCCCCTTCTAATTTGTTCATTTTTGAGATAATTGCTTCACAAATACCTAAAACTGTACGAGACACTTGTGAATTCTATACCTGCCTTACTATCAATAAACATGACACTCTTATTTCTAAACAAATACATGCTTGTTAATCTATTATTAAAGATATTCTCCACCACTATACAACTTGTTCAGAATTCTAAAACAAATATCCACAAAAATTATGTAAAAGCATGAAGAAATAACAAAAACTATGGAAAGAACTTTTAGACAGTGTGACTTATTCTGTCAGTAAAACAACATTCTGAGTCCCTTATGTTTAGCAGTAGTAAGCCCTCTTATGACTTCTTATGCTTCCTTTACCTAAAAAACAAAAATTCCGAAGAAAAGCAAGTAGAACGGTAGAAATTTATCAGAGTACCTCTAAAACCTTCCCTTTTAGGGGTACACTAAATGAGGCATGGAAGGGGATCTCAATATTACCCATGACAACTATTACTCAAAAATAATTCCAATGACATAAGTCAACACCAGGAATTATTAGTATGCCAATCACAAGCACCATCTACTGAAGGGTACTTCCCTTCTTAGCTTCCTTCATAGAAGACTTCTTCTCTTGCTGCTCTTCATAGATTTCCACTTTCACTTCCAACACTCCCATATTCAATCATGCTCAGCCTATGTACGCATTCAAAGAAGATTCTATACCGTTACTAGATAATCTATACTAGTCTCTACTGCCTCATATCCCAGTCACTTAACTCCCTTTACCTGGCTTTCAACTTTATCATTCAACTGAA